GAGAGCACCCGAGCACCTTTGTGTAGCACAGCGCCCCCTAGGGATCATTGGGGTCAGCACTGATGGTGAGGGCAGAGCGCCCCCTTCTGAGTCACTTGCATCACTCCCTGCAGCCCAGCGCCGCCCTGGGGTCAGCACAGACTGAAAGGAGCGAGGCGCCTTCCCAATTAGTCGGTACTAACCAGTTCCTCAATTGCTTCCCAGCCCCACACGCTGGTCGCCCCTACACTGGCCCCACCAGAGCTCCCAGCATCGCTCCCGGAATGTCTCTCGCCTGCTCCTACTCCAGCCCAGTAAACTGAGGCAGTTTGATGGCTGCCAAACCCGCAGGCCCCTGGCTGCTCTGTGCGGAGACTTGGTGCAGACAGGGATTTGGTGGGAGCCTGAGGAAGAGCCGGGAACGCTGCCCACCCGCACACCCTGGCGTGGGGGAGTGTTCGGACAGGGACTGGGCGGGAGGGAGAACAATCGGGATGGAGCAGGGGCCCGGTGTGTGCAGGAGGAAGGGAGCTAGGCTGTGGCTGTATGCTCAGCAATAGGAAATGCTTTATTAGCTGGGAGTGGTGGAGAAAAGCCAGGCAGGAAGAGGCAGTAATAAGAAACATTTTTTGACTTCTCCCACATCCAGAGCGCGGAGATCTTGCCAAACTGCTGCGTTTGGGGAACAGGGAGAGAGGAACGAGCCCCCAGGACTGGGGAGGGAACTAGACACACACACTCCTCTCCCCAGCAGGGACAGGCGTGGGGTGGGGAGGACGGAGGCTGACCCATGAATCTGCTTCAGGCTGGAGCTTGCAGCGCAGTGGGGAGCTGCCTGGGGTGAGCTGGAAAAGTGTCCGTCGAAGGCTGGGATCCAGACACTGCAACCCAAGGAGAATCGCCTCTGGCCCTGGGAAAGGGTCACCACAGCCCTGCTAGCAGCAGACAGAGAGCCGGATACCGGACGCCCAGACCTGGGTCGGGCAGGTTCCGTTCCGCCTCCAGAGGTGCGGCAGAACCCGCCCGCCCACAAGCAGCCTCTCCTCTGGGCCGGTGCTGTCAATGAGAGGGAAAGAGCCGTAGGTGAGTTGGAATGAACTGCTCCCTCTGGGTGTCGGGATGTTTCTTAGGCTGCTGCCCAAAGCAGAAAGCGCGCTACCAACGATCTCGTCATGGACCTGCTCCTCAGCTAGTGGCCTAGTGCTGATCTCACTGGAGCTCCCCCATATTTGTAACTCCTCACCCCCTCTGGTCTGTTCCTGATTTGCCCCCTCTGTGACACATTGGAGCAGACTGTTCTTTGGGTCCCCCTTTCACAGCAAGGGATGTCCCTCCCCTCTAAGGCTCTGATCCCCCTCTGTGCACTACGTGCCGCTGAGAACCACTCCATTGCTTGAATGTAAATCTGGAGTAACCGCTCGGAAGCCGGCAGAATTTGCTCCTGATGTTTGCTTGTGCAACTGAGATTAGAATCTGGGTTTACCTCAATTGCAGTTAGTGGGATGACTCTGGATTTGCACAAGGGTAATTGAAGTCAGAATCTGGCCTTGTGTCCCCTTTCAGAAGATGAAACAATATGTAAACTATAATTATATGATATGCAATGGATCTAGTGCTGGAGGATTGGAGAGTAGCAAATGTTTTGCAGCTATTTCTAAAAGGCGTTGGGGAAATGTAGTAAATTGCAGACTAGAGACTGGTAAATTAGTTGAAATGATGGAATTACAAAGCACTTAGAAATGAATGATATGATAAGGTCAAAGTAGCACAGCTTCTGAAAAGGAAAACCGCGTTCACCAATCTATTCAAATTCTCTACCATTTTCTATAAAAGAGCAGATAAAGGAGAACAAGTTGACACAATTCATTTAGACTTTCAAAAAGGCCTTTTACAAAGTTCCTCATAAGAGGTTGCTGAAGGCGCTAAGTAGTCCAGAGATCAGAGGCAAAGGGCTATCTTGGGTCAGCAACTAGGTAAGAGATGGAAAAGGGATTATGAAGAAATGGTCAATTTCATCACCACTGAAAGTTAACAGCAGGAGCTGTGCTAGGGCTGATATTAATTCATGATCTGGAAAAGAAGAGGAGCAGGGAGGAAGCAGAATTTGGAGATAACACAAAATGATTTAGGTTAACCAAGACTGTGGAACGTCAGAGGGACCTAACCAAGTTCAGGGCAATATGGTGGCAAATGAAATTCAGCGTGGGATGGAACACCGTGAACTGCTCCTACGCCCCACAGAATTACTCAACTGCTCGGGAAAAGTTCGGCCTTAGGTCAATGAGCAGCACCAGCGGAGCAAGCAAATCAGTGTTGGGGTGCGGAAGGAATGGGCGCTATCCTGTAGCTCAGTAGGATATTCGGGACTGGAATGGGGTGTTCAGTTCTCTCTCTCTCTCTCTCTCTCTCTCACACACACACACACACACACACACACACACACACGGGTCAGAGATGCTTGGCAGGATTTGTTTGTTACTGTTTCTAAAAAGCTTCCAGGCTAGAAATAAAAAACCCCTTGCTGTTCTCGGCACAAACAAACAGAAAATCAACCTTGCCCTCCTGTTTCTCTAACACACAGAATTTGAGAAAAAATAAACACGTGGGTGGAGAGGGGGCGTCTGGGCTGATTTTTTTTTTAAATAACAAAACCTGTTTCTCTGATTTTTAATGTAGCAACTGCCTCGAGCGCAGGGCAGCACAGAGCCCGTGCTGTGCAATACGGCTGCTCGAGGCATCTGCTGGCTCTGGGCACGTTGTGCCAGGCATGCCAATGTCCCCGGAGCAACCTTTGCAAGGCTCCGAGGCTCAGTTCGGCTCCGAAATGGGCCTGAAGGAGACCCCCGAGCCAAGCAAATCTGATCTCTGGCTCTACATTTTCTCCAGCCCTAGGAATACAGCATGTTCCCTGGATCAGACCACTGGCCAGCTCCTGAAAGCTTCGGTGGCAGAAGATGTCACTGCCGTATGCACCTGGCCAATTCTGTACTGATGGGCCAGGAGAGGAGGGGAATCTCCGTAGTTCTCCCAATTTAGGTTCAAAGCCCATTGAAGTAAACGGAAAAACTCCCACTGAGTTCAGTGGGCTTTCGATCTAGCAATGCATGGCCTGGTTTGTAGAGGAGTGAGCTGCCTTTGACCTCAAGGGGAACTTCAGCACCTCTGACAATCAGCCTAGAGCGGCAGTGTCCTGGAAACTGCCTAAATCTGCTGCCTCCCCGGGCAGGCATAACGCTGGCTGCCGGCCGTGTGCTCATGTGCCCTGGGACGGGAGGGGGGAGTCTGTACAGCTGCTGGTTCTCAGGGAACAAAAATAAGGAACCAGGTCATGAGATGCATCCTGGCACTCAAAAACCAAAAAAGGCTTTTCTGCGCGCAGTTTTCTGGGCACGACCCCTAGATATCTCCCATGCGAGCGTGTGACTGTGCGAACCATGGTGATAATTTTGTTGATGATTCTCTTTCCTGGTTTGGTTTCATGTCCGCTAGTTAAACTGTTCTCCAGTGTGAACCAAACAGCATGAAGGGACCTGGTACCTAGGGCAGGGTGTTGGAAAGAGGAGAGGGTTTAGGTTTCAATCTTCAAAAGTATCCTCTGGGGTCTGATTCTGATTCAAAAGTATCCTCTGGGCACCTGCTGCTCCCAGTCACTTCATTTGGAATTATGGGTGCTCTGCACCTCTGAAAATCAGGCCCAAGATCACAGTCTCAAGAATTGAAGCTTTCAAACTCCGTGGCCCCCTGGGAAGACATTGGTCTTGCTCTGTGTCTACACTGAGATCAAAGGCCTGCGGCACAGCCGGGGCTGGCCGGGTCAGCTGACTCGGGGCTCCAGGCTATCAAATTGCAATGTAGCTTTCCAGGCTTGGGCTGGAGCCCAGGCTCTGAGACCCTGCAAGGGTGGAGCATCTACACAGCCCGAGCCAGCTCAGCCGGGTTTGAGATTCAGCGCGGTGGGTTTTTCATCGCAGTGCGGCAGTGCTCTCTGGGGACAATTCATGGCCGCCCTGGACGGTCAGTTACACAAGTGCAAGGGGCTGTCTCTGAGCTTTGGAGACCTGCTTTGCACTGGCGTGGATTTCTGCAGGAGGCGCCAGGCATGAATATCTCGAGCCCAGGGAGCTGGTTTGAATCCAGCCCAGCTCGATGGGAACAGAGCGGAGTTACTGCTTGGGCGGGTTGTGCATCAGGAGTTTGGTGGGACTCGATCTAGTTCCTTCCGGACACGTGTCCACAGCACAGAAACCGCCATCATGAAAGGCGCTCGCTGGCAGCCCCAGCACATGGACCAAGGCCTGAATGGGCCACAAAGACTGAACCCTGGCATGCTCAGATGGTCCTGCCAAGGCCCCATTAGGGCTTATGGGTGGAGCCTACAAGCATGGTCACTGGTCATGTGCAGAGAGGATCTCAGGGTTCTCTCTGGTGCCTTTCACCAGCACTAAACGCACTCTAGATTTTATAAAAACCGGCTCTGTGCTGAGCAGAAAGCAGGGTTGGCCTTACAGCTGCAGTGGGATCCTGGGCTGGCACGTTGCATGCGAGAGAAGGGTGTGGCGCCAAGGAGAAACAGCGGCACATCTGCAAGCATTCAAAGCCCTGCTTTCTTGTATGCTCTGAGTCAAAGTGGCCCGTGGGGAACTGCAGCTCCGAGTGCACTTCCATTTTCAAAGAAATTGTAACTTTGCGTTCTCCACCCATGTTCTTAATAGAAGCATCTTTGACAGGTCATTACATTGGCCTGCTTTCTTATGTGGTTATATAGGACACCGTAGCAGAACATCGTAAATGCTTGGCATGCTCTTGCATTATAAATCATATCAATAGCACAGGCGTGGAAGAGGTGGAATTAAAGTTGCTTTAACTCTGATTATCCTCACACAGGTTCTCGGCTGGTGTAAGCTGATATAGCTCTGTTTATTTCACTGAAGCTATTCCGATTTACAGAAGCTGAGAATCTGGTCCCTCTATTTATTTATTTGTGGTTCAAAGAGTCACAGACCAGATAAGGTTGCCTTGCCTCTTGTGCCCTGAGCAGTTTGTCAGTATGTGGAGCCTTGCCTAGTGGTTTCCATTAGAGAAGAAATTGATGATACCAGGTGTGACGAACTGGGACTGTTCTTAATGTGGTCTTTGAATGCTGAGTGGGGAGGTTGGCTAGGACGGTCTGCATCGGGGGATGGGAGACTGGCCTTGAGGGAAGATACCTGAGCATGTAACATGAGAACCCAGGAAGGGGTTAGAGGCCAGGTGACACCTTTGCCCGGGGAAACTGCACAAAGGCTGTGGGAGGGGTCGCTGGAGGGAAAGTTTCAGGAGCTGGCTGGTGAATAGCTGGGAGGCAGACAGGGCTCTGACCTCCCAAGGGGGCTGTGGGGCCCTGGGACCCCAAGATGGACCTAACCAGGGGGGATCCTGTTGTCTGTGCCTGCAAGACCTGTCTTGGACTGTGTTCCTGTCGTCTAAATAAACCTTCTGCTTTACGGGCTGGCTGAGAGTCATGGTGAATCGCAGGAAGCTGGGGGTGCAGGGCCTTGTGTCCCCCCACACTCCGTGACACAAGGCAGGTATTTCTCTGGTATAATCCCGTTTATTCATAGTGAATGAACACACGGTCCTATTTCCCAGAACACAGAAGGAAAAAAAGAGCAGGAAGTTTCCTTAAAATTTCCAAGCCAGCTTCTCCAGCCAGTCCTGTGCCCCAAGGAGTTCTGTCTCTCTGCTCCTCTGGGCTAGTCTCACGACTGTTTCTCATGCTGTCTGCTGGTTTTCTGGGCTCTCTGCTTCTCTCATATGTCAAAAAATCCTTTAGCCCAGGGGTTCTCATACTGGGGGTCAGGACCCCTCAGGGGGTCACCAGGTCATGAGCTGTCAACCTCCACCCCAAACCCTGCTTGCCACCAGCATTTATAATGGTGTTAAATATATTTAAAAGTGTGTTTAATTTATTGGGGGGGTCGCACTCAGGGGCTTGTGATGTGAAAGGGGTCACCAGTAAAAAAGTTTGAGACCCACTGCGTTAGCCCCTACTTTTGCAATCTGTCATAGAGAAACCCCACTTATTCTCCCTGGGTTCCTTCTTGATTAGGCCTTGCCACGCAGCCTAGTGACTTGGGCGGTGGCTTCTATTGTGTCCAGCTATCGTTTCTTAAAAGGGGCTTCACTTCTTCTATTTAGCATGAATGAAAGGTGGTCAGCACATCCTTCAGTTTTAACCAGGTCTGTGATCATTGATAGCCATCAACCCTTCCAGTAGAACAACAATTTTTAAAAATTCTTCTTCCCTGTGTTACTAACGCTCAAGGCTATTAAAACTGAAAGGACTTGAAACTTCGAATTGATTTCCCACCACTGATGCTGCCGTCTGTTGGACCCTTTTGCCCTTCAGTCGGCTTGGGATGGGGATATTGCTCCAGGCGCTTCCATTCGGTTCCCCATGCTTGCAGGACAGACTGCGTGGTGAAAGTAGAGCATTTCGGTTCATTGGGGTTTTGTGCTTGGCTCCAGGGGGGTGATTCTAGAAACAATCCCGAGAGGAAGTTCCGCTCAGCTCTAAGAATTGGGTCTTGCCACTTTTTTCACCAGTCTTGTCATATTTGGGGTGAAATCCTGGCTCCATTGAACACAATGACAAAAACCCTAGTGACTTTCCTGGGGGCCAGGACTTCCCTTCGAGCCCCTGCTCTGAGAGGAGACTGATGCGGGGGGTGGCGGGAGAGTCTCAACTCTCAATTCAAATGAAAAAAGTAAGTTTCTAGCCCTCATGATTGCAGAGAAAAGCCTGGAAATGTGTCTCAAGTGCCCCCCTAAGGGCTCACAAACCAGAAGGTAACGAGCCTCAACGAGAGTAGCTTTGAAAATCGTACAATTCCTAAGCCAATCTCGTCAGATGGTGGGGCCTGATTCTGGAACCGTTGGGGTCGGTGACACAGACGTCTACAGCCAGGCTACCTGTCCCAAGCTCTGCACTTGGTTCTGAGTTGAGGGCCATAGTTGGTACCAGCCGGCACAGAGACGCTGAGGCTGTGGTGCCGAGACCTAATGAGGTGAGAGAGCTGCAGAGAACATGTGAATGGTGAGTCACTGGTGCAGAGGGTGCAGGAAATTAAATCTCAGTTTCTGGAGCAGAAGCTTCCTTCTAGAAGCAGCTGCTTGGAGAGCAGCAGAATAAAGTGAGTTCTCAGCAGTTCTCAGGACCCTCCCACCGTGTTTCTGTTACTGATGAGAACCAGAGAGCTCAGGCTGCGGTCACGGGGCTACTTGTGACAGAGATGGTTTGGGTCTCTGGAGCAATGTTACAACATCCAAGTTGTGGGGCTTAAAGAACCCGTGAGCTATCTGTGTTAGCGTGTGAGGGAGAGAGGACACAGGGGAGGATAGAGATGGGGAAAGGAGGGAAGGGTTCAGAGAGAACACGGGAGAGGAGAGAAGGGAGGAAGAAAAAGTAGGGACGAAAAGGAAGGAAGGGAGGAGATCCATAGCGTATGGCTCATCCACATCTGCCAATAGCAAATGCCTCCAGCAGGTGGAGATGGGACTCTAGATGGGACGGGCGCTGAGTTCTACCGAGAATTCTTTCCCAGGGGTCTGGCTCTTGCCCACATGCCCAGGGTCTAGGGTGGTCAGACAGCAAGTGTGAAAAATCGGGACAGGGGGTGGGGGGTAATAGGAACCTATAAAAGAAAAAGACCAAAAAAATCGGGACTGTCCCTATAAAATGTCTGTACTGAGCTATCTTGATTATCACTTCAGAAGTTTTTTTTTCTCTTACTTAATTGGCCTCTCAGGGTTGGTAAGACAACTCCCACCTGTTCATGCTCTCTGTATGTGTGTATATATATATCTCCTCAATATATGTTTCACTCTATATGCATCCGAAGAAGTGGGTTGTAGCCCACGAAAGCTTATGCTCTAATAAATTGGTTAGTCTCTAAGGTGCCACAAGTACTCCTGTTCTTTTTGTGGATACAGACTAACATGGCTGCTACTCTGAAACCTATAAAATCGGGACATCTGGTCACCCTACTAGGGTCTAACTGATGGCCGGGTTGGGAGGGAATTTCCCCCAGATCAGATTGGCAGAGACCCTGGGGGGTTTTATACCTTCCTCTGTAGCACGGGGCACTTGGGGGTTTGAACTAGAGTAAGTGGTGCATTCGCTGTAATCTGGAGTCTTTAAGTCATGATTTCAGGACTTGGCTAACGCAGCCGGAGGTTGCAGGAGTGAGTGGGCATGATTCTGTGGCCTGCGATGTGAAGGAGCTCAGACTAGATGGTCCCTTCTGGCCTTCGAGTCTATGAGATCGGGAAGAGGGGCAGGAGAGAAAGGAAATGGATCGTGGGCGCTAAACAGAACTGGGCCTAGCTCTTTAGAGGTGCCTCTAGGCCCAAAGCCTGTTTCCCGAGAGCTTCCTTTGTCTCCAGTCTGGAGGCCCAGGCCCGGCCAGGACAGCAGCCGTTCAAACCTGGGCACCATGGAGGTGGCAATTCCTATTCCAGGATCCTGCCTGCAGCCGGGCGGGACCCAGACTGTGAGGTGAAGGGCCAGGTGCCCCCCTGGAGTGAGCTAGCACTTTGATTTAACCAGGAGTGTTCTTTGCGTACACCAGGGCTGGATCCGTGCCCTGGTGTCTGCACTGGGACCGGGCTGTGGGGCAGGTGAGAGTGGGGTGCAGCCCATGTGACTGTCCCTGGTTCAGGGCGCAGCTGCTGGGGAGCACCTATCCCTCCCCCCAGGAACGTTGCCCTCTCTGTGCCAGTGTTTGGGGGACGGGCCTCAGAGAGCCCCATTGCCCAACATGGGTTCAGCCTGCAGATACATCCAGCCCCTTTGCTCACCCTTGAAAGGGATGTTTGCCTGCTGGTACATTATCCACAAAAGCTGCAGATTCCCTGGGCCGGAGGCGGCTCCCGCTCCCAGCCCCATGTTCCCCTGGAGCTGAGTCTCTGTTTCCCCTCTGGGAGCAACAACAAAGTGAGTTATTTCGGGGAGGAAAGGTCCCTGCAAGGCTGCCCTATGGCTGGAGCCACAGAGCGGCTGTCTGGGCCAGATATCTGTTTGTGCGGCTTGGAGCTGTGTGTATTTGCGTGACTCCCCTTTCCCATCAAGGCCAGAATCTAAACAATCTTGATTCCTGTTCTGGCTTCAGTGGCGGGCAATGGGCAGGGCTCCCTGAATTGCAGGAAACGGAGCCATCAGCCTGTTTACGTAGAAATCACAGACGGAGGTGGGTGGAGAACCCAGGGGCTCGTCCATTTAGAAAGGGATCCAGAAGCGAAGGAGACGGCTGCACGGCGGGGAGGAAGGGGGCTGGGAGGCTTGGGGACAGTGGTGAGGTCAAGTCTTCATCATGTTTAGTTTGGCAAGAATTTCCTTTTTACAAGGAAGAATTTAAAAAACAAAAAACCCTTCCTCTCCATAGGAGCAGCTGGGAAACTTTTGGCTGCCTGCTTTGAGTGTATTTGTATCGCTGATAAGCCTGATACCAAAGCCCGCTGGAGGACCCTGTCCGCCAGTCTCTGTAATGCGCAGCTGGGCCCACGGAGCTGTACGTCGCACCGAATCAGTTCCCTGCCATAGCCACCAGCCCCGTATTTCTCTGCCTGTGGTCTCCTTTAGTCTAGTACAGATTACTGGCCTCAGTACCGAGGTAACTGGGCGGGGTTTCCTGGCCGATATGCAGGAGGTCAGCCTAGGTGGTCTGGGGGTCCCTTCTGGCCTTAGAAGCTCTGACTTTGATGCATAGAAGAGAGGTGTGGGGGAGGGGAAGATGAGCCCCTCTTCCTCAGGCCTCTCCGAGCCACTGCTCTTTGATCCTGCACCATCTATTGCTTAGACCTAGTTCAATCCCACTAGCTGCTCTGCCCCGCTTTGGCCCTGCTGCATCCCATCACGTCTGTTACTACCTGGCTCCCCCTTTGAACTTCCTAGGTCCCCCGTTAGTTCCGGCCGCCTACACTGCCCCTGCTTCGTTAGTGATCAGAGCGTGTGGAGCTTCTTGGCTCCCCGTTTTAAAACTGACGCTTTGCTGGTGCAAGTTGGGTGCTGTGCTCCACGCCAGAGATGGCTGCATTTCAGTGGTGGTGAGGCTGCGCAGCCTGTAAAATGCTTTGGCGTAGCTTTTCCTGGGATGAGAGGAAGTGCCGCCACACAAGTTGCTACAATGAAAAGAGGCTGATGTGTCTATTGCTCGTCACATGACAACAGAACATGAAGGCACCGCAGGGACACAGCTGGGTCACAAGTAAGGAACCATGCTTACTACACACATGCCAGACCTAGCTACAACCACCCTGCTGCCCTGGCTGGTTTCTGGTGGCTTCTCCAGCCCCAAACACAGTAAGCGCCACTAGCAGGTTCACAAACCATTTAAAGCTACCCTTCCGTATACAAGTGGACTGCTGTCAATCAGTGCAGAGTTTGCACTGTGTTTATCTGCACACATTACCAATGCAGACTGCTCTTCTGGAGGCTGAGTTTAGCTGGAATGGGTTTTCATGCAGTTATGTGTCGTAAAGATCTCGTGTAATCGCTCTCAGGAAGAGGTGGTAACTGTGATATCCTGGCCAAGCTCCACTCTGGATAATTCCGTCCTACCTACCTACATCCTGCCCCCCCACCCTGGCAATTTCAGTTGACTACAGAATCCTTTATTTCCTCTCCAAAGCCATTGTGTAGCTTTGCCGAGCGACTGTGAAGCAGCTGACCCGTTCCAGCCCAGACGTGGCTGCATTTCAGGGATGCATGAAGTGACCCCCTATATATAATGAAGTTGCACGATAATAATATCGTTTGCATTTGCAAAGTGCTTTCAGATCCGCCAGGTGAAAGAGGCTGCCGAATTGTGAGACTGCACTATTAATTAATTCTGTTTTCTCCAGAGAAAATGCTGCAAGGAGCCATTGGGAGCTTTCTCCTGGTCGTTCTGACTGTTCCAAGGAGCGTTCCAGCTGGTATGTAGCAGAATAACCAGAGTGACTAGGAACAGTGCAGTGTTCCCAGAGCACGGCTGTTTCTTTCTGTAGCGTGCAGGAAACTGAAATTAATGGCGGGCGATTTGGAGATTTATTTATATACTCGCCTCTCAAAATAAGTCACCATCCCAGGCAATTTATTCGCGCCCCTGTGTGTCTGCCAGAGGAAGGAGCTGGGAGTTGGGATTCCTGGGTTCTATTCCAGCTGTACCCATGACTGGCCATGTGACCTTGGGCGAGTTGTTTCTCCTCACGTGTCGCTGATCTCCCTCCCGTGTTAGTTCACTGTGGTTCATAATGTGCTTTGAGCTCATTGGATGGAAAGGGCTGGAGACATGAAACTGAGAGATGGGATGCAGGGAGTATTCTTAAATACCTAGGGCTTTTCCCTGGGGTGGGCTTCTCTTAGCCCTGGGAGACGCTGTCTTCTTGGGCTATTAACTGGACATCTCACAGTGTCCTCACCCCCTCCAGTTACCCCAGTCTGCTCATCTCTGTCTCTGTCACTGGTCAGCCCCAGCCCGGGGTTATCTTCTTCACCCTGTTCACAGCTACCCCGTGCTGAAGCAAGGGGCACTATTTGAGGCCCTGTTGTTAGGGCCAGCACCGTGGGAGAGCTCTGTGCAGAGAGACACTGGCGGGTTTGCATTAGAGATGAGCCCAGGCTGTGAAACAGGCCAAATCCCAACCACAGCGTACCCAGGCTCTGGGGCTGCAAACCTGAAACCGTGCTCGGGGTCAGAGCTTGCAGCTCCAGCCGGACTCTGATGGGCCAAACCCCCCAAAACGGCCAAGGTCAGGTTCGGGTCTCGACTTTGCCCCCGCCTTGGGGAACGCCTTGATGATGCTGTTTGGCCCCAGGCTAGATTCTGGGGTGTGGGTTCCAGGCACAACTTTAGGGCCCAGGTTTAGAGACAGGACCAAGACTAAAGTCCAGATCCAAATGCCCCTGAGTGGGGCTCAGAGTCCAAAGCCACATGTGAAATTGCGATGGGATGAACAAACACAGCTGGATCAAAAAACACCGACCTTCCCGAAGTTCAAGCCCCAGAGACAAATAGCCTGGTTTGATCCCATCCCCAAATGCTTTCTCATCTATCCAGCACATTTATCTAGCTATTGATTTAGCTATTTATCTGCCAGTCTGAGCCTGGATTTTCAGAAGATCTCAGGGGCAGATTTTCTGGTGATCAGCACCTAGAACTGGGGTCAGACTTAAGAAGTGCCCAGCACTCAACCTGCCCCCAGTGCGCTGGCTTCTTTGAAAATCTGGCCCGCATGCCCCGGGCTCGACTAGCCAACCCTCAGCTACGTGAGACTTGCTGTTACAAGAAGCTGGCTTGTGTCCCCCAGTATTTATTAATGACCCGTCTCCCAGCCCAGTCAGAGCCCTCCCGTGACATTCGGGGGGTGGCGGACGTAACGTACCCCAGCTGGAATGTGGGGAGAGCCCTGTGGGGCTGCCCCGGCTCGGCTCCGTCCGTGAACAGTGCTGTCTCGTTTGTGTCCTGCAGAGAACCTGATGTGCGCCTGTGACGACCACGTGCAGCCCTGTGACCATGCCACCTGCTGGGGGAAGGTGTGTTTTGTGAGCAAAACCCAGGACAACGGGAAGGCCACCCAGCGCAAGGGCTGCCTGAGTGATAATATCCTGGAGCACTGCCAGACGAAGCCCATGGAAGAATACGCCATAACCTGCTGCAGCTCCAACATGTGCAATGAGAACACTAGTGTCCTCCTGAAAGGTACAGCCCAGCTGTGTCCTCGGTCCCCGGTGTGGCTGGCTGCAGGGGGCTCCCCTCTCTGGTAGTTTGTCCCAGGCTCCCACCCCCTGCCTTGGGGAACCCTCCGACAGCCTTTGGGGAGACAGGAATTTCCCCTCTGGCCTTGCCCCCTCAGCTCAGGTGCCTCCCAGCCCCGAGCCAGGCCCTGGGCTGCTGCACCTATGCTCACTGGGGTGACATTTGCTGTCAGCTCTCCAGCTCTCTGCCTGCTGCCCCTGAATTGCTCAGGGCTGCTGGGGAGAATCACAGAATCTCAGGGTGGGAAGGGACCTCAGGAGGTATCTAGTCCAACCCCCTGCTCAAAGCAGGACCAACCCCAACTAAATCATCCCAGCCAGGGCTTTGTCAAGCCTGACCCTTTCACACCCATGGAGAGGGCGGCTCCTAGCAGCCCAGAGGCTGCTCTGACTTACACCAGGGCCCTGCATGGCTCTAGAATATGAGAAAGAGAAAGGTCCCGGCACAGGAGCACAGAAACCAAGCTGCAGACCCCAGTGCCTGTTCCATCCAGACCTGACCCCTGCTCTGACTCCACGCAGACCGCGTTTGCCCGTGGACTCCACCACAGCTGGTCCTTTTCTTCCCCTCAGGCCAGGAGCAGCCCGAAGAGCCTGCCTCTCTGACGAACCTTCTCCTGATGATCCTCGTCCCCCTGCTGGCCCTCCTCGTGCTCATCACGCTCTCCTGCTGGAAGCTGGCTCAGCACCGCAGGAAGCGGCTTCTCATCAGACATGATGACTTGGGGGACCCAGACAACATGCTGAAAGCCTCCATGGTCGGAGACAGCACCTTAGAGGTGAGTGGGCCTTGAACAGCCTGCCCGCTAGGGACCAGAAATGGCGATGGCCACAGACAGGCTCCCACCCTGCAAAGCCCCCAGAGTTCTGGAGAGGTTGGATCCAAACCCAAACTTTGCGGCCGGAGCCCATCGCTGTGTCACAGTCAAGGGCTCTCTCCCTAACTAAGAGGATTTAACATTCAGGAGTGCAAGTAGAGCCGTACCCTCCAGCATGCAGTACCGGCAAGAGATTTTTAGCAGTACGGGGTACTGGGAAGCCTTGGGGCTAGCCCACTCCTCCAGGGAGGGGGGGGGGCGCGCTCTGCTCCTTAAAGGAGCAGAATGCGGCTAGGGAGAACATTCATTCTTTAAATGGCTTTAACAGCACAATACATATGCTAACAAACTTAAACCAAGGCTTTATTTAAGTTTGTTAGCATATGTATTGTGCTGTTGCCTTGGTCAGGAGTCCTCAAGAGGGGAAGGGTGGGGGGGACAGGTGTTTAAACGTTTTTGATTCTCTTTCTCCCCATTGGTCTGAATTATTCATGACATCCATACTGCATCACATCAAGTCCAAATCATTAGAGGAATGCCTCTGCTTGCACTGACCAGAGGATGTTTGGATTCTGATGTCAGCCCAGTTCTGCAGCCTGACAGGAATCAGGTGTTGTCCCTAGTGAACATAGAATTCTTCTTTGCAGCCAAACTAGTCTAACATGCATTTTGTTAACTGGAACTGGAGCAGCAAAACAAAGAAAACAAATGCCTCATTTTCCAGCTTTGTGGGTGAAAGAATTATAAGTGAAGATTATAATGCCGGACACTGACGGCCTTAAACCAGCTGCTTCAGGAATCTGCCAAGATGTTCCTCATCTTAGCAACAGAGCTAAGAGTTATCACACATCTGCCCACCTTTATTCGAATGAAGCTCCTTCTGATCTGACAGCTCGGGCATTGTCAGTTTCATCCAGAACAATTTACGAACTTGGAACCTAATCCTGTAAACCCTTAATCATTTGATCAATCCCATTGAAAACAATGGGACTATTTGCATGACTATGGACCACTTTTGTGGGCTGGTAAGCATTTCAGGAATCTGTTCTGTTCCTATAAAGGAAGTTGAGTCCCCCAGTGAAATGCAATGTTTGACAATACCATAAAGCAGTTTAGGATACAGTTATACTTAAAATTTGTTTTTAATAAGTCATACATAGGCTGAAATGGCTCCTTACCCATCTCCCATATTCCATATAAAAACAGACTGAATACGACATATTTGGGGGGAAAGTGAGTAGTTAAGCATGTTGATGTTTGTATGTACAAAGGGGGGTGTCGGAGGGGACGGGGAGAGCATGCGGGTCCCGGGCTGGGGGCAGGGCAGGGAGGAGTCACATGGAGGGTCACGTGCCCCCCCCTTGTGTCCCTCCCATGAGTGCAGTACCGGCAAGAAATGATTTCTACTTGCACCACTGATAACATTGAATAGGAAAGGTATATGGATGGCATGGATTTTATGGTCTCCAGACTTCTTTCTCCACTTCACCTCTAGGTGCCACGCAGCCGTCTCTGCCCCACAGGTCATTGGTACCTCTCCACACCCCTCCTTGCAGCTTTTACTCTGTCTCCACCCAGAACGATCTTCATGCCACAACCCGACCATCATGTGCCCCATCTCCACCCCCTTCCTATGATCACTCACCCCTTCTCCATGCCCTTTGCCCCCAACCAACCTACGGTGATGCACCAATCCCCACCCAAAATCCATGCATTCACTCCATCTGCCCCCTATCCCTGTGCCCATGTGCCCCATCTCTAGCCCCAGATGGCAGCTTCACCACCCTTGTGCACCCCACCTACCTCCCAGCTCCCCGCTCCTGATTGCCATGGTAACCGAAGAGATGGGGATTTAATGTTGCTTGAGGGGTTACCTTGCTGCAAGCTCGGTCGCTGACTTCCAGTGATCTGTCCCTCAGGACCTGCTGAACGAGGACTGCACGACGGGCAGCGGCTCCGGGCTGCCCTTTCTTGTTCAAAGAACTGTGGCTCGGCAGATCACGCTGGTGGAATGCGTAGGTAAGAAAACCCAGCCACCGCGTCTGCCTTTGAACATCTGCACATGGTGAAGGAGGATCCCCCGGCGCGGCTATCACCTCATTCCTTCAGCCAGTGAGAGCAGCTAGAGATGAGACCATGAATCCTGACCCTCGGGGGAAATTTTGGACTCTGGTTAAGGCCGTCTGTGTTACCCACCCGCTAGCCCCGGGCCCTCTGGAGATGCTTAGTATAGGAGGAGGAAGGACAAGCAGGTCTTGGACTGGAGCTGGGCTCTCCCGAACCCCTAATCCCTGATATTCGATGGGCTTGTCTCTGGCCATGAGGCTTCTAGCCTAACTCTTCACGGTACACACCAGGCCTGGCCCTGGGGGACCCAGCCTGACCCCTAGCCCTACAGACCAGGCCTGGCCCTGGGGGACCCGGC